CTGGCTACTACACGGTGTATTCCGTTGAGTTGAATGAAGTGATATTGCTGCTGGAACGTCGAGTAAGCTGATCGATTAACTAGGTATCGTCTCTTTGTTGTATGGTTCACCGTGCAATGTTGCCATCACAGTTATCAGATCCGGGGGGGGGAAGCCAGATTCGAAGATAGGCTCTGAGAGGATCCAGCCATGGCCGGGTATCTAGTCCATGGCCTGCCAGTGAGCGTTTAGATGATGATCTTCGTTGCAAAGCACTCTATAAAGGGTGCCTGATATTTAACTAGTGCCCAAAACCAGAGTCAGAGCACAGTTCAACAGCCACTCAGTGTCAATGATATAGCGACTGTTTCTGCAGTCAATTAGGGTCCCCCCCTTTTGGCCCAGCGGTTTGATACATATTTACGGCTCATAGGCCTCTTGTCAGTATTAGTTGGCATGGTGTTCTTCAGGTAGTGCCTTCATCGCTATCACCCTAACAAACATGCCTGCGAATTTTACCCTTTATAGGTATTGGATAAATAGCCCTCAGAATGCATTTGACTCTTGCAGTTCAAATATCTAGATATGAACCGTTTGCAACGATGATAACTAGTTGGTCGAAAGGTCTTACGGAGTGCGAAATGTGGCGACTCCAATAGCGGCCAGAAAATTCCATCGTCGATTCTTGATCAAACGTCAGTGTCATGTCAGGTTATTGTCTGCGGGTTACAACTTACACATAGTATACGCCAGCATGGCCCATGGGCCAAAACAACAGCCCACCAGCGCGATTATCGCGCCGAACACCGCAGCGACCCCATATGGGCCAACCCGCTCCAGGAGGATGAGGGAAAGGGACGTGGCCAGCGTCGCCGCTAGGCCTGCCTCGGGAGTAGCAGTGGCTGTCCAGATCCTCCGTTATTTCTCACTCTCTCTTTTCACGCGAGGCTCTTAATGGCTTCCATCCATGCTCGATGCCGCAGCGGAGGGCGCAGTACCGGCTCCTTCACGTCTAACACTGCCTTTTGCGCTTGATCCGAGACCTCGGGCACAGCAGGGCAGCAGCCACGATAGCTCATCTTCCTCGCATTGCTGTGCCGCCTGCGGTGGCGGCCGAAGCGTAGTTGCACGCAGATGAAGTCTGGTGCCAATGCTGTTGATTAGCTGGATACCAGGTCCTTTGCAGTTCACTATCTGGCCCATGCTATTGTATATCTTTAGCTGCTCGTCGCACTTGTGATTCGTGCCATTAACATCTGCCGGGGTTGCCTAACCAGATGTAGCTCAAGAAAGCCCCATCCTCAGGATCATCTGGGTCGAAAGGAACGAAATTCGGCCGCCGTAAAAGGAGCGGCAGCGCTGACGGGTGTCTGAAAGCCAGCGTAGCCTTTTGGTCCATATGCTGGTCCAACGATTCCGTTCTATCATCACATACCGGCCAGGCAGCAGTGTATGGCACTTGTAGCATCGCTTAAACCCTCTTCCAAGGGATGATAAAATCTCATCACATGGGTTGCAGATATACTCATAGTTGACTGAAATGTACGTGGGTCCACGCATCATTGTTCGGCTCGTGATGCCATTCAATCTGGAGTATCTTGTTCACCCCTTCCGCGCGATATTTCATCTTCCACACCGGCCACTAGTTATATATTGCTTTTAGTTGGATAATATCTTCGGTTTCATATCGTTGTATGTATAGCGATGAGATCAGGTAGCACCCCATGTATTAAATATGCCGGTCAACCACCAAGACGGTCGGAGCCCAAACAAAAAGGCAGATGCATAGAATGCATGTTTTCAGTGACTTCGACGCCGAAGAAGCCATCTGACAGTGGCCCCCGTATACAAGATAGCCTGAGGGTCAGCCATTCTTAAGTATAGGAAGGTTATGCGCAATCTTCTGGAACCATGCAAGTAGAGAATTGTTCAATAGTTGTCTGTTAAATAGTTCTCCGAGTTGATCCATATGGTAGTCGAGACAGCAGAGGAAATCAAAACCGGCACTGGTGCGTGCTGGTGTTATTTTGCAGCACAAGAGCTTGGAATCAGTGTATTCCGTATCTGAAGCATATGTGCTTTGGGCGCTGCAAAAATACTGTCGCTGGGATTCAACTTGAATGCGTCGGAGTATCTTTTTGCGACTAAACACAGGAGGAGACTGAAGGTGTTTGTCAATGATATAACGACTCTCTCTGCAGCCAGTTAGGGATCTCCCCTTTTTGGCCCAGCAGTTTGATAGTATCTCACTCAGCCTCGTTTGCACTGACATCGTTTTCTTTGAATAGTATCTTATATTTATTCTGGCCGCGTCATATGGTATATTGGATCTGGCGAGGTTCTATCGCTTCGCAGTGGGCACAACCACAATGCATTGAAGTAATTCTATGAAAAGAAAGAAACCCCCAGATCCGGTGGTTTGTCTGTCTTGGGCAAAGATGGGTGTCTTCCGCTGCGGACAGCTCTACCATTGCCTCGTAGTACTTGTGGAAAGTCTCTTTTCCAAGGTCGAAGCCCCCTTTTCAAGGTCCTGGTCAAGTTGGTTTTGTTCCTCCTGCGTTAAAGTGTCAAAGTTGTCCGGACGTGATGGGAATATCCATTCCCCCAACCAGCCATCCTAAACCCTCACACTCACAAGGTAATAAGCCGTCCAGCCATTATGCTTGTTATACAGGTCAATAGCTGGGCTGGAGACCAAATAGCCTGTTTATGAGGTACTAAATAACACGATTCCTTTTTGTGCCGATCGCATTAGCTCCTCCGTGGATATAGGTTATGCCGCATATAGGCTCTGGAGAGCATGTAAAATGTCGTTCACGGTCTTGCGGGCCCGGACATATCAGACCGGTCTAGAGGCGTGGATAACAACAAGCCGAGCAAAGATCAATTTCGCCAGAACGGATCAGCCTTTCTTATCATCAGACAGATTGAGCGGCTTGCAGGGAAAAAAAGCGCTCTTCCATGATATCTGATTTTGTCGGATATCTGATCCCTCAGCTCTGTTTTGTTGGAAACTCCGCTATCAACGGCTACAAGACATCGCCCAACGCAGTACTGTGGTTTGCAGCCAGATGTATTACCGTTCTTTTCATGCAGTCTTGCAATCAGCGGATTGATTTCTCTCTCTTCTGCAGTTCTTGTGAGTGGTGAACTTGCAGTCAATTGCCATGTATAATATTGGACTTTGGTATATTTGAGCCGCGGTGTTCCCATTAAATTCCAAGCCACAATCTTGTAGTTATGGCCTTTCGATTTTCAGTTATTCTTCAACCGCTTAGTAGAGACGTCCTAACAGTCTGCAGATCAAATGGTGTGTCAATCTTAGTTTTAGCTGTATTTTCCCTCACTGCGAACTGCTTATTGACACATTCGATAGATTCAATCAGGTGTTTCCATATAATAGTCGACTGTATTTATTTTTTTTCGAGGAAGCAACTAGCAGCCCCTGAGCAAAAATCGACCGACCCAACACAATCGTATGTTTTCTGCAGTTTCAGGAGCCCGTGGCAGCGCTGGATATAGCTTATTCTGACGTGCAGGTGTGATAATATGGTGAGCGTTTCCCAGCTGTGCACCTAGCTTTTGAGGGCCTCAATAACTTCCGCATTTGGGTGGCACCAATCGGTGCCACGCCTTGCGGGGGTATTAGCGCAGCGATTGCTGGCTGGAAGACTGTCGTAAACCGAGCAAGCCTCTTTCACTAGTCCAGAGAGTAGATTCCGTCAAGCACGACCTATATTCCATTTCCCTGGTGATTCGTCCTGCTCTTCAAACACCGTGTCATTATTGGTGGTTAGAAATAGCTCGGCCTTTAGAGCAGGTTCGTTGCATCACACTAGCCCTGAAATCGAACAATCCCAGCTTAATCCTATGAATTTTCGGTAAAGTCTATAACCGTAGGATCGATTGCTCAGTATTGGATCTCCCGGGCGTCATATAAGGAATGAGTTGGGGTGTGTTTCTGGTAAGTCATGATATCATTGACTATTGTCGTTGGTTCGATGGCTCTTACTGACGGATTCGAACCGATCCAGGCCTGGTATGTGCGTCTATTTTGGTTGGATTCCATGTGAACATTTGCCTCTTCAGTCATCTGCTGGGGAATTTAAGTATCTCTTGCAGGGTGACGAAGTTGTAGTCTTTGATTTGGGCCTCATGATGCTCAATATGTAATCCCTTGAGAGACACATTCCCATTTCCATTCCGAGAGCTGGTTCCCAGTGATGTTGGTAACCGCGCCGTACGCCCCAGGCTGGGAGATAGCAATATTGCTAATATCTTCACTTTATATTCTATTTGAATATTAAAGAAGTAGATATTTTACTTTATTGCTGGTTTGCATTAGAAGCACTCCTAGAGTGCGGTCGAGACGGTCTCAACCAAGGGGGTTCAAGTTCCGGAGGAGGGGGGTGGTGCGGCCCCAACACAACAGTAGTAGATAGGGGCGGGCGGCTGCGGCTACGTACTTGGGAGGCCTGCCTCGTTCCCTATCTGCTGGGAAGATTCATACTTCAACCAGCTAAGTAAGTGTTAGTTTAGAGGTAAAATAGCTTGGAGAGAAGTTGATAGTAAATAATTACCTGACAGGGATCTCGACGAGCCTCGAATATGCCAGTGAAATTGTTAGAATGAGTAGATAAAATAACCATGCATTGAATTGGCCATATACTATGACTATTGCTTCCGCCATCGACATTGTTGCATTCTTTAGGCTCGGATATGTGAGATTCCACGGGACATTCATCCGACCAGCCTCCAGCCGAGTCCCTAGTGGAGGCTATTGTTGTTTGCAGAGGACCCTGCACAAGTCCCATAGAGCCGCAGCCGTTGGTTGGCTTTTTAGTGCCTTCAAATGCTCGCTTGAAGAAAAGCGTTCAGGTCAGACTTAGCCGACAATCCGGACCCTCTTCGCCTGCCGACAGCCAAAAGTGAAAAGTTCGATAAAATATGTAAACGTTGGTGGTTCGCAAAGCACTCTTTCAGAATCACAATTTGGGCAACGCTATGAGCGCCGTTGAAGGAGAAACGCTGAAGGTTCGAGAATGCAGACATATCCCTTGAAAAAACAGGGTATGCAAAGCGGGATTGCGCTTGGTGATATATTTCGCAGCAGTGACATCTGGTAGTCTGCCAATCTTTCGGTAGACGGATCGTATCGCCTTGCAGAGACATGGCTTGTCGCCCGCAAAAGCCTGGAAAAGGTGAGGGTAGAGATTTTGGTGCAGCCCGGCATGTTCTTGTGACCATCCGTATCAACCAGGCATTTGCTATCAAGCTGTCCAGACGGCGGTTGGTTGACTTGTTCATTTTGAACAGGAGTGGAATCGGCCGAATACTTTCTCGAAGGGGATAGACTTCATACCACCACAGGCTTCCAAGTAAGTAGATCGCAATTATCGAACAACTTTGTAGCAAGATTCGCTGTCTGGCTACATACGTCGTTTCCGTTGGATACGATAAGTATGTCGACGGATTGATCGGGTTCGATACCCTCGGAAGGAATAGTCTGCTTGGTCTCGCCGCTTGTTTAGTGGAATTTCGTCATAGTTTCTTGCTCCTGACTGTCGAGTTCGAAGAGAGCAGCTCGCTCAAGCGGATTCTGAAGTGCAGTCCCCTGCTTCTCTCCAGGCTTTTGCGACATAATATTCCGTTTGCTAGGGACAGTGTCTTGCTGTTTGGTTCATGAAGATCTTCAGGCTTAAATCCAGGACACAGCACCTTCATTGCTTCGGCATGATCAGGATATAAAGACGAGAGAGCTCTGAAGACAGTATCTAAGAGGGCCATTCCCTAAGCTTTGCAACGAGGCGCCCTTAAGACAGAGAGCTGATACTATTAATCCATGCCAAAAGAACTGGCCTCCCAGATACTAAAAGAAGTCAGAAATGT